GCCATGATATAACTGAAATAATGTTAAAACCCAACTCACTCACACCGAAGCAGAACTCAAAAACTGTTGAATATTTCTCCATGTTACTTTTCATAGGTTTAAACTACATACTGGACTGGTGCCTTTTGCTATTTTAGGATTTAATTTTTTTTCTGTTTTCAATCTCCACGGAAGCAAATAGACTTAGGTTCAATTTGGGATGGGGTTCATTTCTTGAACGGAACTGAGAAACTGTGTGATAGTTCTCCACAAAACTTTGCACAAGCATCATCTAGTTTGCATAAAAAAAACCCCACAGAAACACACTTGCTTGACTTTCCATTTCATATGGATGCGACCATGGTGGATCTTTTGTGGGTAAACAATGTATGCTTCTTCAAGAACATTCAACTCTTGACTCATTACATACAGAATTGCACATTTACTTGTGGTTAATTTACAGACAGCTGCCGGGGGGATATGTCATCTTTCTGATGACTCTTGTTCAATATCAACAAAATATACATTGCCTTCATATATATATGCCTTGGCGAAAGTTGACGATCTTCGCAATTAAAGAATGTTTCATTTATAATTTTTCCGTTTAATATGACAAAAGAAAAACGAAAATAAAGAATGTGAAATCTGATAGCCATATTTCAGTAAGTGAAAAGGTCACCGGATGTGATGTCACAGACAGGGATAGTCTGCTGTTTATCTTTTGTTTTAAAACAATTACAGTAAATTTTGAAATATTTTGCTTGTCACATCCAGAATATTCACAAATCAATACATAGTATCAGTAATCACCACTAATATGAAATAACAATGTGACTTTCACTATATGATTGGCATATTATTTAATCTGCTTGACCTTGCTTACGCCTGTGACCTGGAAATGGTAGAAGATGACTCAACATGCCATATGCAAGTTTCTCGGTATCTTTTTTTTTTTAACTTTTGTTGATATATAAGGTTCACCATTCAATGTTATGTTATGAATGGATAAGATTCATGTATTTGCTATGAACACGCTGATGATTTTGTTTTCACTATAATATTTGTGTCCGACGCAAATACGTGTAGAGATGTCGTTGATGGGCAATGATCACCCTCCACAACAGGAGCGTGAAAATGGGAATGACAAAAAGTGTTTCAGATAACATGCATTGTGATGTAAATATCAATATAATACGACATACACTTGTTCAGTGTTATTTTCACTTAAAATTTGGGATAGTTAAAGGTTTTTTTCCTTTTATGATACATTTATAGATTCTAGCATGGTATTAGAACAATTTCACACAGCAATTTTAACTTTATTCTATAAAAATAAAGACCGCCATGATTGCGTATTGATGATAGATTTGTTAATTATTTACAGCTTTTACATTGTTTAATTATATTTTTATATTTAGTTGTTATTATTTCCACAATTATAATGTGTATGGACACTAAATATTGGTCAATGCATCGGCACAGTGTAACTGTTTGAACTTCAATCATTATCTTTAGTTTAAACATATTTTATTCAACAATTATTATCTTTCACCTGAACATCAAGTATATGAATAAGTAACTATTTGATGTCATTATTTAATTTTAGCATTCCATGAATAATTATAAATAAGTTTTTTACCTGCATGGTGAAGATACAGGTGGTAAGATACTAAATCCGTCACACGTGTCGTACAAGGTTGACCTCGTTTTATTCGTTTTGATTGGATAACCGTGTCCTCTGTCACACTGGAACTACTTTTTTCATTCATAAAAAATCGTGAGACGTCATTCTATTTGCAGCTACAATGCAGAACTGAAGCAATCTCATGAAAGCGAGACATTTACACACACTTTACTAACCAAACAAGATAGTTACACGCATCAACTTCGCTTTGCATTCTGTATTAGTTATGCACAGAGTTTCTACAGACATTATATAATTGAGCTATATCCATTTGCAATGTACTACTACTGATCGAAGGATCGAGGGTTCCTATGGATGTGATGCACCCAACCAATTCGACTTTCGACTTTCAATTTGATTTAACATAAAAGGATAAGCTTGGTGAAATGAAGTCAGTTTTAACTATCTGGATATATATCCGGACTTAAGTTGAATGCTCTGGTTGTGCCATCAGTGTCCCCTTAGAAGTGTATTTTGTGGCATTGTTTCATTATTGTGTTTGTTCATGAATAAACATGCACGACTCAAAGTGAACAGTTCCGATACAAATCATTTAAAAACTCTGTGGAAGTGTGCCTGACTTCTGATTTTGTGGCCCATAACATCCCAAATGCGAACAATAACATTCCCTAGCGTAGTACGCTGTGAGTAGATCACGGTTGTCTTTTCTTATTCCCATGGTGACCTTGCCCTTCATTTGAAGCTGTCACCAGGACCTCCGGCGGTGAACCGGTGAAGATTCCTGGGTAGAATAGGTCTTCAGCAACTCATACATGCTGTAAAAGGCGACTATGCTTGTCGTCAAAGGCGACTAACGGGATCGGATGGTCTGGCTCACTGACTTGGTTGTTACATGTCATCAATCCCAATTGCATGGATCGATGCTCATGCTGTCAATCACTGGATTGACTGGTCCAGACTCGATGATTTACAGACCTCTATCATAAAGCTGGAATATTGCTGAGTACGGAGTTAAACAACAAACAAACAAACAAACAAAAACTCTGGTGGTGCGAGTGACCGACTGTTTGTCCGATATTCAAAGCGCGGTGCTAGTTGACTTTTTATCCCCCACCGTGCCAGAATGGCCGAAGGGGTATTATGTCGTGTATTTAAAGGGGCACTGATCTAAAGCAATTCCCCGGGACTGGTTGTTGCCTTTGTTATTGTTTTTTCCCCGTGAGTACCCGGATGATATAGCAGAAACCTAGACTAGTTCGCAACCTGTGCTGCGCAATTCGTAAGCGCATTTGTCCCTTTTATTGATAGTATAAGGGCGTATGGTCACATTGATCAACAAAATGAAATACAGTTTTGGAAATAATAAGGAAATGTAGGTATCTTTGTGGGTAGCATCAGTAATGGTGACGAAGTTTTGATAAGTCACTTGCTTGGAAATTGTGCGATTTTCGTTGACACTATTTTTTCTTGCTACACAAAGTAAAAATTTCTCCTGAGCATAGCTTATTTTTTCGTTTTTATATTTTTACAGTCAAAATGTGCAAAATTTTCACTTAGAAAATTTATTAAACGCCTGAATATTCAGTTATTTTACAAATTGACTGAAACATATGTACATTGGATTATTATGACAACAAATTCCAAACATTTTTATGTTTAATATCATCACCAAGAGACTAAAAATGTTACTATGAAAAGTACATTTCTATATTGTTTGGCTTCTAATCCTACATAATAATCTATTGTGATGTTTTTAGGCCCTATTGATGGTCTTAATCAATTTTGGTCAATTTGTTAAAGAAATATACAGATTTTTCAGTCAAAATGACTGAAATATTCACACATTTTATAAATTGCCTGAGAGAATCACATTTTACAAATTGACTGTAATATACAAAGGAAAAGACTTGTGAAAACAACGTATATCGCGCATCGAAGAATTTCCCAACCAAGACGTAGAGGAACAAGAAAGTACCGGTACAAAGAAACTTATTCGATGTAAATGTGTCTCTGTAACAATCAAATATTTTAAATATATATATATTGTTTAGGGATCTTATAACCCGTGTTCGTTTCTCAACTGATCATTTAGATTGTCTCAGGTGTTTCACATAGGTGTCATGTCTTAAGGGTCGGCTGAGAAAGCCCACGTGACAACTATTTTCATCGTCCACGGTTCCTAAAGAAAAATCCATTGAGTTAGATAACAATGAGCAATTAATCAACGTATTATCGGTTAACCCTTTGAAAAAAGTATGTTGTTTTTACATCGGCACTTCACGCAAGGATATGAGTGCATTCCCTTTGTTTTAGTAAACCTAGACATGTAAACACTCACTTTTGACATATCCACTGTGCAAGATAACAGTGATTAATCAATCAATGTATTTTCTGTTAATCCTTTGATGACTACGAACGATCCGCTGATTTACAAAAAAGTAAATCAACTGATCATTCATCTCTTGCTGGGCTGCCACGTGCATATTACATAACACACATTTCACCTCACTTCAAACCTTGATTTAGATTGAATCATTACCCCAGACACAATAAATGCCAAATGGGAACCTTTGTCAGGTATTCTGAGTGGTGCTACCACTAATTATACCTATAATAAATTCATTAACTGTGTATCAAGTGAGTGACGACAAATACACAAGTGTAGGGTTATACCAGAAAACATGGATGACAACAAGGGAGTAGTAATCGTATTATCGACGCAATCCAAAATCCGAAAATGCTTTCACTGCATGGATACTTTTTTTTAATGATAACAATCAGGGATATTTCAATATGACGACAACCGATGATTTCCGCCGTTCTTTTTGTCTGTTTTGTTTAGGCTGAAGAAATTAATTAACATGCGCCCTTTGTCAAAATCTTTATAGATCACGGTTAACCAATCAGTGTTCAAAAATGGGTAAAACAAATATTGCCTCCAAGTTTATTTTGCTGTCCTTTCAGACGGTAGCCCAGTCTCTTGTCACGCTCATTTGCGTTGCTTATCATCCGGGTAGTCACGGAGGAAAAACAATAACAAAAGCAACAACCAGTCCCAGGGAATTGCTTTAGATCAGTGCCCCTTTAAGTTCTATTGCATTAAGCATTTGTCTTCATGAATCAAAAGAGACCGGAAGTACAAATAACCGCACAAACAAAAGACTAGTTCCATTTATCTCTGGTTTGTAGCAATATTTTAAAGCCTTAAGTGATTTTATAAGATCAGAAGTATTATTACCCCAGCCAATTAGTGAGCTGGGACCATGGGCATTTTTTGTTCTTTTTGAAATGTCACTTGCCTCCCTACATCATGCACTGTTTGAAGGTACTGATTTTCATAGCTTTATATTTGAAATATTTCTGTTCAATATTGCAGATATGTTACAACAAGGTGTTGACCTTTCTGTGAAACCCCACATAGTCATATCAACACCTGGCAGGCTGGCAGACCATATTGAAAGCTGTACAAACTTCAGCCTGAAGAGGATCAAGTTTCTTGTAAGTAGTTGAGTTGCTGATTCAATGTTATTTTGGATGATGGAAGTTACTTTTGGATGCGTGGATAGGTCGGGCTGACATTGGGATTACCTGAGTTAGCCTACACTTAACCCTTGAAGAATATCATGAAGTGAAGTACAACAGTTCATTAGGGTAAAGCTCTCTCCTCACTGATTGCAACTGGCTTACTGGCTAATGTGGTAGTCATGGAATGGCTTACAACTCTGGCTAATGTGGTACAGTAGAACACGGATATAGCGAACAAACGGATACAACAAACTGTTAAAAAATCCCCGATTTATCTCCTATATAATATCATATAAAATTTATGTATATAACGAACTCTCTACAGCGAACTAACGGATACAGCAAACTGATATCTGATCACCGACAAGCCCATCTATCACTAATTAGTGACGTGTATAGCGAACTGAGAAATCTCACTCAGTGTCAAGTGTCACTGACAATTGGCTGTATGCAATCAGCGGCGAATCAACACTATGGCGGCGAATCAATACAATCAGGGGTGACGGATCAACCTTGTTAAATTTGCATTGTGTTAATCTTACCTGTACATGTAATCTTGTCTGTAAAACACACATTAAACATATAAATTCTACGAGATTGTGTCCGAGTGTCAGTTCACTTGCATATGCTATCATGGCGGGCAATAGTAAGAGGAAAGCTATCAGTTTAGACACGAAATTGAGAATTATTAATGCTGTTGATGCTGGCATAAAAACCAAGAAAGACATTGCAATGGAATTTGACATTCCAAAATCAACATTAAGTACCATTATGAAGAAGAGAGAATCCATTCTTGAATCCTGTGACTCAACTGACTTTGGCCCCGCCCGGAAGAGGTTACGAGCTGCCAATCACCAAGACATAGAGGATGCTCTCTTCAAATGGTTTCAAGCCGTGAGAAGCGAAAACATTCCACTTAGTGGACCGTTACTGCTGACCAAAGCTGATGAACTTGGAGTGAAATTAGGCCATGAAGATTTCAAGTGTAACACTGCAATTACGTGTGTTGTGCTTTGTCTTATCCAAGATGGCGGAAGTTTCCAAGCAAAAATGTGTATAACGAACAACGGATATAACAAACTGATTTCTCTGGTCCCTTGTAGTTAGTTATATCCGTGTTCTACTGTAGTTGTGGAATGGCTTGCAACACTGGCAAATGTGGTAGTTGTCGAATGGCTTGCAACACTGGCTAATGTGGTAGTCGTGGAATGTCTTGCAACACGGCTAATGTGGTAGTCATGGAATGGCTTGCAACACTGGCAAATGTGGTAGTCATGGAATGGCTTGCAACACTGGCTAATGTGGTAGTCGTGGAATGGCTTTCAACACTGGCTAATGTGGTAGTCGTGGAATGTCTTGCAACACTGGCAAATGTGGTAGTTGTGGAATGGCTTGCAACACTGGCTAATGTGGTAGTCATGGAATGGCTTGCAACACTGGCTAATGTGGTAGTCGTGGAATGGCTTGCAACACTGGCAAATGTGGTAGTCGTGGAATGGCTTGCAACACTGGCTAATGTGGTAGTCGTGGAATGGCTTGCAACACTGGCTAATGTGGTAGTCGTTGAATGGCTTGCAACACTGGCTAATGTGGTAGTCGTTGAATGGCTTGCAACACTGGCTAATGTGGTAGTCGTTGAATGGCCTGCAACACTGGCAAATGTGGTAGTCATGGAATGGCTTGCAACACTGGCAAATGTGGTAGTCATGGAATGGCTTGCAACACTGGCAAATGTGGTAGTCGTGGAATGGCTTGCAACACTGGCAAATGTGGTAGTCATGGAATGGCTTGCAACACGGCTAATGTGGTAGTCATGGAATGACTTGCAACACTGGCAAATGTGGTAGTTGTGGAATGGCTTGCAACACGGCTAATGTGGTAGTTGTTGAATGGCTTGCAACACTGGCTAATGTGGTAGTTGTTGAATGGCTTGCAACACTGTCAAATGTGGTAGTTGTGGAATGGCTTGCAACACTGGCTAATGTGGTAGTCATGGAATGTCTTGCAACACTGGCTAATGTGGTAGTCATGGAATGGCTTGCAACACTGGCAAATGTGGTAGTCGTGGAATGGCTTGCAACACTGGCAAATGTGGTAGTCATGGAATGGCTTGCAACACTGGCTAATGTGGTAGTCGTTGAATGGCTTGCAACACTGGCAAATGTGGTAGTCATGGAATGGCTTGCAACACGGCTAATGTGGTAGTCATGGAATGGCTTGCAACACTGGCAAATGTGGTAGTCATGGAATGGCTTGCAACACTGGCAAATGTGGTAGTTGTTGAATGGCTTGCAACACTGGCTAATGTGGTAGTCATTGAATGACTTGCAACACTGGCTAATGTGGTAGTCATGGAATGGCTTGCAACACTGGCTAATGTGGTAGTCGTGGAATGGCTTGCAACACGGCTAATGTGGTAGTCATGGAATTGCTTGCAACACTGGCTAATGTGGTAGTCCTTGAATGGCTTGCAACACTGGCTAATGTGGTAGTCATGGAACGGCTTGCTACACTGGCTAATGTGGTAGTCATTGAATGACTTGCAACACTGGCTAATGTGGTAGTCATGGAATGGCTTGCAACACTTGCTAATGTGGTAGTCGTGGAATGTCTTGCAACACGGCTAATGTGGTAGTCGTGGAATGGCTTGCAACACTGGCTAATGTGGTAGTCGTTGAATGGCTTGCAACACTGGCTAATGTGGTAGTCATGGAATGGCTTGCAACACTGGCTAATGTGGTAGTCATGGAATGGCTTGCAACACTGGCTAATTTGGTAGTCATGGAATGGCGTGTAATGCCTGCCACTATTATCATCATGGAATAATATGCAATGCCTGGCACTATTATAAATAACTTGCAACATTAGGTAGCTCCCAATAGAAGAGACATGAAAACTATTTCATGAATTCCTTATGGTCACTTGAAAAGAGCATTTAAAAACCCAGTAAAAACAGTTTAATACAGGTATTTTATATTGTGTTGGATATTTCTCTTGCAGGTACTTGATGAAGCAGATCGTCTTTTAGAAGACAATTTTGGCAGTCAGTTGGAAGTAATATTTAAGGTTTTACCCAGAAAGAGGCAAACAGTGCTGGTTAGTGCAACGATGACAGAGACATTGAAACAACTGCAAGACCTTACCATGAACAAGCCATTCTTCTGGCAGCAAGAGGCAAGGTAAGTTTCCCAGCTGTGATTCATTGTTAGTGTGATATCCAAGTCTGAACCCACTCCACACAGAGACTTAACATCATCACTCAAATCACCATCAAGTGTATACAATGTTCTGCTCTCTATCGTGTCTTGACTTCCCTAAGATAACTTTGACAATGGATTTTGACAATATTTGCAATGTATTATGAGTCTCTCATAAAGGATTTGTAAACTTCGATAAAGCAGGTCATTCTGAATCCTTACATTTCAATGCTGTTTGAATGCCAGGAGGAATTTAGTACTCAGTATGCAACATGCATTTTGTATTTAGATCTAATATTTTATACAGCAGCTACAGGGTTATCAGCCTTGATTGCTTATCCACAGCCATTCCAGATTCCCTCCTCCTGGCCTACCCCACTTTACCCACAGCAAACACAGGCTCCTCCTCCTCCTCCTCCTCAGGCGCCGCCTGTTCCCACTTCTTCCCAGGCACAGCTGTAGCAGACTTTGCGCTGGATCGGTTCGCCTCCGGTGACCTCTCCTCAGGGTGCTCATTTTGACATGGATGGCAGTTCGGTTCTACCATTCTCGTCTCATTCTCATGGGGGTAGGGGCGGTCGGGTAGCCTAGTGGTTAAAGCGTTCGCTCGTCACGCCGAAGACCCGGGTTCGATTCCCGACATGGGTACAATGTGTGAAGCCCATTTCTGGTGTCCCCCGCCGTGATATTGCTGGAATATTGCTAAAAGCGGCGTAAAACCATACTCACTCACTCACTCATGGGGGTAATCCCCAACTTCAGTCATCACTTGCAACACCTGTTCAGGTGTCTCTGGTTGCTAGTGCTTCGGGCTCTCCTCCCCGGTGTTCCAGATCCTGTTGGTCATCACCGGACGGGGCCTCCAAGCCTTCTTTGCCAAGGGCCTCCTCTTGTTTTTCGGCTGAGGAGCAGCCACTCTACATCTCAAAGGATCGGATTCTGTGGATGTCCTTGAATTAGAGGAACCTGTCCCACTGCCCTCTGCGAAAATGCTCCTTCAACCCCAAGAATACTACGCCATCTTACAAGGTCCCTGTTCATCAAGTAAGGATAAGATACATGAATGAACAACTTCTTTATTACAATTAGAAGCTATGTTTCAGTGTAGGTTCTAACACCGTTATCAAGCAAGTAACGTACAGAGTATGGTTGACAAGTATATATACAGGATAGGAGGCAGTGTTTCTACAGTTGAGTAGGTTTAAGATGCAGATACATTGCTGGAGTTATGTACACAGACGGGTAAACTATATTAGCTGGAAACGTCGCTCCTAATTGTAATAAAGAAGTTGTTCAAATCCATATATCTTACCCTTACTTAGTACTCCAAGTTCTAAATGCCTCTCAAAGAAGTTGTCCCTGTCCATCATTTGGTCGATGGTATTCCTGCACTGTTGCAGCAGGCCTAGGATAAGCTAGCCCTTAAGAGTTCGCTTCCCAAACCTGCCATTACGTAGTCTCGCTTTAAACTGCATGGGTAATCCTTTCCTACTTCAGCGCCTCCCTTGAATGCAGACAACGCTAAAACTGTGGGTCGTTCCACATCTTCGCGCCTCACGATCGATGAGAGATCTCTCATGTCTGTTGTTTGTGACATTCGCCTGTCCCTCCTACCTTTTTCACTTATTACAGCTTTCGTCCAGGCGTTGGTTATGCAGATTTGGCTGCAGAAAGGGTAAAGGCCCTGTAATCCAGGCAAAATAAGGTTTCACTTGAAGCAAATTCCAACAGAATATATTTCACCACAATGCATTTCTACAAGGTCCCCAAAACAACATACTAAAGGTCCCAAGCAATCCCAGTTTGGGAAATATACTGAACAACAAAAGTTCCAGTGACATTGAATAAGATTTAATGCAAAGTTATGTTTTTTACCAAATCTGAAACAATTTCAGTTTGCAACTGATAAAAGACTCCTGTAAGTGTTCAAATGATTTAATTTGCCATACTGACTTCAGAAAATGTGTGGTTTCATAAAAAAAAAACATGAACGTGCCAAAATGTCAATTTACAAATCAATAGCATGTGTGTCCACCTATGGTTGCGATGCAAGCAACACATCTTCGTCTCATGGAATAGACCAGGCGCCGGACAAAGTCCTGTGGGATATCTGCCCATATCTGCTAGTGCATGTTTCGAAGTTCCTGGAGTGTCTGTCGAACACGTGGTTGAAGTCAAAGGTGCCGATCCATATCATCCCACATGTGCTTGATTGGTGAGAGATCAGGGGAGCGACCCGGCCAGGGGATGACATTCACATTTTGTTGAAGAGAATCCTGAACAAGTAGAGCAATATGAGGCCGGGTGTTGTCATGTTGAAAGGTAGTGCCTGGGCCATGACGACGCAAAAAACGGTAGAACAACAGGGCCGATGATCTTGTGGCGGTAGCTACGAGGGGTGTTCATTAAAGATTTCCCCTGACCCACTTCCCATGGACCTAGTGGAATGAAACTTGGCATAGGTATTAGTCTTTCTCCACATAGGAACCACCAAGAGTTACACACTTCTCCCATCGTTTTATGCAACTATGGAGACCTCACTTGTAAAAGTCCTCATTTTGCGTCTTAAACCAGGACTTGACTTCAGAAATCAGTGTTTCATCATCTGTGAAACGTTTTCCCTTCAAAAATGACTTCATGGTTGGAAAGAGGTGGAAGTCAGATGGTGCAAGGTCAGGAGAGTAAGGAGGATGTGGAAGGATTTCATAGCCACAGTACTGCGCTTCTGTCTGGGCAACATGAGTTGTGTACTGGAGCATTGTCTTGCAGGAGACAGACACCCTTGGTCAGCATGCCACGCCTCTTAAGCTTGGTAGCGTCCGCAACAGTGAAGCATAATAAGCTCCTGTAATTGTGGTACCCTTTGGCAAGAAATCCATCATCACTACTCCGTGCTGGTCCCAAAACACCGTGAGCATGACCTTGCCTGCAGAGGGTTGGACACGTGCCTTCTTTGGGGGTGGTGACTCCGCATGCTTCCATTGCATCGACTGAACTTTAGTCTCAGGTTCATAGTGATGGACCCATGTTTCATCCTGTGTGATAAGTCCGTCAAAAAAGTTTGCCTGTTTTTTTTGGCACAAGTCCAAAAGATCCTTTGAGCAATTGACTCATTCCTGCTTTTGGAAAGGTGTGAGCAACCTGGGAATCCATCGTGCAGACACCTTATGCATGTTCAAATTGTCATGGATGACAGACCCTACACTGATCTTGACATCTTGTGCTAACTGGCGAATAGTTATACGTCGGTCTGCCAAAATGGCAGTCTCCACTTGATGGATAGCGTCCTCATCAATGGCTGAATGGGGGCGACCAGGAATGGCAGCTGTTTCCACAGACGTCCGACCACACTTGAACTGGCGATGCCAGTGTTTAACAACGTCATATGATGGGGCATCTTCCCCATAAGTTGCTTTCATTTCATCGAAAGTTTCTTTTGGTGTGCGACCTTTCAAATATAAAAACCTAATCACTGCTCGGTATTCTACTGGCTCCATTGTCACACCCTACTCGATCATAACACCTGTAAAAGTGATAAGATTAATAGTTTGGTGCTGCAAATTCAGACATTACCCATAGATACATGTATCATTACACATGTCAAATTTCAACCAAATATGATAACCCTAAGTGGTTTAGGGGAAATCTTTAATGAACACCCCTCGTATGTCCATTGAGATTTCCCTCTACCACTATCAAACAGGTCCTCTGTCTTGCTGTAATCCCACCCCATACCATAACGCTGCCGCCCGGCTAACCGATCTTCTTCCATGACACAATGATTGACATAACATTCACCTCGACGTCGGTACACTCGCACCCATCCATCGCTGTGTCTGAGGTGAAAACAAAACTCGTCAGTGAATAGAACTTGTCCCCACTGCATGGCCGTCCAGCATAGATGCTGTCTGCACCACTGTAGATGGCTTGACGCTGGTTTCATGTCAAAATGGGACGTCTGGTGGGTCTTCTGGCAACAATCCCTGCACATCTGAGGCGACGACGTACGGTTTGTGAAGATATTTGTCGAAGGCCAGGGATGCTTCTGGCAGTCACTGTTGCTGGCTGGAATCAGTTTCGTAGGTGTTTTGTTCGAATCCAGTTGTCTTGTCAATTATTGGTTACGCTTGGCTTGCCACTCCGAGGTTGGTCTCTGACAGCATTCGTCTGTTGCCAACGTTGCCATTAACACCAAATGGTGTTTCTGTGGACCTTAAATTGTCTTGCAACATCACGTTGACTCGATCCTGCTTCAAGCATACCAATGGCACGCAGAAGCTCATTTTTGGACAGGCGTGGCATTTCGTAATGTTGAATAATTGCGTAATTTTGATGTTTTTCTGAGTGGTTGTTGCTAAACAGCGCCTATGGAATCCCGTTAACACACGTTTTTATACCCATTCATGGGTAGTGAAATGCATGGGGCTTGCATTAAAGTCAACTTTTGCATGGAATGCATGCTTTTCTGTAGCGGTTGCGTTTTTGTGACTTGATTCCATACATGTACTACAATACTGAAAACCAAACTTTACTTGTTTGAAAAATACACTAAAATATTGGTGTCACAGGAACTTTTGTTGTTGAGTAAATGTCTAATTTGCATAATCCATTATGGCCACCAATTATAAATTTATCTTCCATATTTTTGATGAGGTTCAATGTTATGATAAAAAAGGCATGTGTTGTATTGCGAAATAGCCGTATTATGTTTTTAAAAAGATACTCACAACTTCCGAACGCTGACTTTTGACAAATCTACAAAAATTCAAGATGGCCACCAATTTCAAGATGGCTGACAATTTTCTTAAATGTGTGTTTACACTGTTGAATCTTTAACTCAAAAACAGTGTGCTAGGACTTATATGCATATGACTTGGCACACTAACTCACAGAAGTATTGTGGGGCGGTCGGGTAGCCTCGTGGTTAAAGCGTTCGCTCGTCACGCCGAAGACCCGGGTCGATTCCCGACATGGGTACAATG